CGCTCGGCCGTCCCGACGTGAAAGAGACGAGAAATTAACTTCGTGCACCATGAAGTCGGGCGGCTCTCTCGCAAAGATCTTTTCTGATGTACGCAGCTCTACATTCTAACACGGTGGTTATGTAATTACCAGTATCCACCGACGGCCTGTCTGACAATGAGAGATAGAGTAAAGCGAATGCTCATGTACGTAGCAACCTCCACATAGTTGATTGTGAATGTCTAGTACATCGAATCAATGGATATAAAGTTATTTCCAAAGAAAAATTTTTTTCTGTATAATATACAACATATTTTATCTAGATTTTAAAGCGACTGACTAGTATAGTTTAGTCCACAAAATAATGAATTAGATTATCAATCAATATTTAAAAGAGAATTTTTAATAATTTGAAGAGATAGATTTTCATTGATTTTTTAACAGATTTTCATTGCAAAATATATTATACTCAATACATATTGTAATATTTTGATTTTACATTTATATTGTATTTTTGTTCTAATGCTTTTAATCACATCAAGTTGTGTCTACAATGTATATCATATTTACAGAAAAAATACTCGGCTATCTACTCGCTTTAAAAGCTGCCGCTCTGCATATCAGATTTCTTACAAACAATTAAACAGACACCTTGTATTATAAATTTTCTTACTGGATGAACGTTCGTAGATGCTAATTACAAGTAAACCTAACTGATTTAGCGCGTTGATTGCGCGTAAATCACTAAAATACACAAACTGACACTAGTGCGGATGCCTATGAACGCTAAAATTTACGCCTTACTCACGGCCGCAATTTATGAACATGCACTAAAGGATCCTTGTCTTAACACCTTATTTTTCGTTCTGCCATTTGTAAGGCTTACCGCATTTCATCTTGGCGACTCGTTCCGCCTTCGTACGTCTAAGAATGACAAATCGTTTTCCGGAAGAATGACCTCAAAAGAATATGTTCAAAAATTGACGAAAAATAATTAGTTTTATTCTTGGTTTTAAAAGACATTATATTATATCGCATTGCAAAAATTTATGTCAAAGTAAATTAGATTGTAATTAAATCTAGGTAATTTTTGCAATAAATTATTTATAGATTTTTAGGATGCTTATTAGCATTAATTATATCATTAAATTATTTGTCAAGTTTAATTTATTACTATTCTACTTTTAGTTTAGGATTGCGAGAGTTTAGATTTCAAGATCGACAATTATTTCGACAATTTACATAATTGGATATGAGAATAAATTCACAACGAAATATTTAATTAATTAATTATTTAATTAAGTATTAAGATCCAGCTCAGATCAATAAAATTTTCTTGTCACTTAAATCTAGATAGTTATGAATTAAGAAATATCGCTATTTGCTAAAATATTTTTTTGTACATTCGATAAGCATTATTAAATAAATTACAGTTTGCTTATAAAATATAATGAAATACAAATAATATTTATCTCAAGTTTTATTTTATTTTTGAAATTCTTTTGATAGATTACAATTTTTTTGTAATTTGCGATAATGGAATTTATTTATATACATTAAAAATGATTAATATTTCTCTGTAATGTTAACGTAATTAATTAAAGCCGATATAGTTTTCTTTCATAATACTCGCTTAAAGCTTCGCATATAAAGACTCGGGATTTATCAGCAATTAGCAACTGCCGATCGTCCATACGAATAGCGAGCGTGACTAGCTCAGTTCGATTCTTACGACTGGATCCTTACGACTAGCGGTCGTAGGATAGCTAATACTGTCGCGGTACCAATACCAGTTAGTCCTTGGTACATCGCCAACATGTGTACGCCAATATATGCAGGTGTCTGCTATCTATATTCGTAACTCGTGCGCAAGTTCGTCGTAAAGGTGGATGAGGAGAGACACGACAAAGGGGCAAGAGGGGAAGATAGAGAATGCGACATACATTTGTAAAAGAAGAGAGAGAGAGAGAGAGAGAGACAGAGAGAGAGAGAGAGAGAGAGAGAGAGAGAGAGAGAGAGAGAGAATGTGCAGAAAAGTCAAGCAGAGATCGTAACGGGTTTGAAAGCGGATGCTTCGCCGATAAGACTAATTATTGTTCTGGACCAAGAGTCGTAGGCGGGCTATTGGTGCAGAACCATCGCCATCGTAGATAGCGCGACTCGCTCTCGGCATAGCACAGGCCGCTAATACACTGCACTTCTTTTCTAACGTGCAGCGGTTCGGGTGAATCAAGGACAGGAGGAGTCGGATATCGGCCGGTAGCATCTCGCAGAGTGTCAAGACTCGGCCGCTTTTAAGCTCGGTACGCCACGCTCCTCGTTTTCGAAGCGTATCTTACCGGCAGGCTATGTCCGGGATGCGCAACCCGGTGCGGTCCTTGTTAGCGGCCTGCCAATAGCTCCGCACGAACTATGCTCGTGCGAACATTTGCATCCTACTGAGCCCGATGTCGACATACGATCGATCTCGATCGCCGGTGGAATATTTTCGAGTCGCGGAACCATCAGTGACTTTTGTCATTACGATTGAGTTGGGAGTCAATATTCTATTAAATTATCCAAATTCTGT